GATAGATAGATAGATAGATAGATAGATAGATAGATAGATAGATAGATAGATAGATAGAGGATGCCTCGTACTTCTGATTCTACTGGAATGGAACCTAGGGTCTGAGTTTGGGTTCCCTGCAGACAACTCCCTGTCAGAGTTCCCTCAGATCCTGGCAAAATCTTAAGATAGCAAATTTCCCATGAGACCTCTGGCTTTCACACCCATGTACACACATGTGCATGTATACTTTCACATACATACATACATACACACACACACACAAACATCACACACACACACACACACACACACACACACACACACTGTCCCAACTCCTCATCTCTGTGTGCTAAAGGGTGAGGAACCCACCTGGTTGTGGCAGGTCTCCCTATGGACTTGAAGAGAGAAAACAACCGAGAGGTGTTCACCAACCCTGGTCACACGGCATAGCCAAGAGGACAGTGGCCACTGGATCTGCCAGCCACCTCCAAGGATGCCAGCAAATGTCTGCTAACATCTCTTAGCTGATCCAGAACAAAACAAGCACCTAGGACATAAACCCAGGCCACACATAGAAGCCTCCATTTTGCCCGATCATCTGTATCCCACTAAATACCCTGGGATTTGCTATAGGCCTGTTGGAGCTAGATTGTAGGAGGATAAAATATTTCATTCCACACAAATTATTCTCTAGATTCTTGAAGAAAAGTGCCACATCTTCCTTCCTTTTTTCCTTCCTTCCTTCCTTCCTTCCTTCCTTCCTTTCCTTTCCTTTCCTTTCCTTTCCTTTCCTTTCCTTTCCTTTTTCTTTCTTTTTGATTTTTCGAGACAAAGTTTCTCTGAAGCAGTCCTAGCTGTCCTGGAACTTTTTGTAGACCAGGCTGACCTTGAACTGACAGAGATTCACCTGCCTCTGCCTCCCAAATGCTGGGATTAAAAGTGTGTGCCACCATTGCCTGGTGACACACCTGCTCCAAACCCTGAGGTCCACAGACTGCCTCCACGGGCAAATCAAATCCTGCTGGCTCACTTGAGAGGCCAATTCCCCTTTCGGTAGAACATCCCAGTGGGGTGAGACCAGGCAGCGGAACTCTGCGGAGGTTTGGCGGTCAGCTCTACCTAGCTGACCACAGACAGCTAGGATGACCCTCTCTGAACTTCATTATCTTTAAAGGAAGAATGAAGATGATGGGCATAAGATTCCCTCCCGGGTCGCAAGTCTATTTAATGTCTTAATCCAGCACCAGGCCGTACATAGCAAGGGCTCCGCACTGTTCTGTACTAATACTGCTGGTATTCATAACCAGAGTACAGAGTCCATCGTTAGCTGGGCCCCCAAGCTCACAATCTGGAACCCATGCGACTGGGGTCTGGCATTGTCACTGAGATCACGCCTGTGGGTAGTAGGGAACAGGCAGCAGGGCCATCGTCAGCAAGGGGCAAAGGAAGTCACACTCTGCTTCACGATTGATTCCTATGCCTGCCCCAAACAATACGCATGTCCCCTCCCGGTCCTTGGTGCCTCCACCCTGGCCAGCTGCCCCTGGCCCAGTGGCTCGATACTCACAGAGGTGGTGTGCATAGCGGAGGTGGAAGGTGTCACAGCCGTGAACGTGATGGTACAGCGTCTTTTCAATCAGGTCTTGTGGCTCATAGCCCGTAAGCTCTGTCACCCTGTGGAAGGATGGAGGTCCCATGGGTCAAGTCGCTCTTAGGTCCCTTCCTTTAAATCAGTGTTTGCTTTGCCAACTAATCAAGAATGAAGAGGCCCAGCAGTGGGGATGTTGATTTTGGAATTAACTTTTTTTACAGGAAGAAAGTCTTTGAACTCTAGCTCAGAGTAGGATGTAGAACAGTGAGCAAGAATGTTCTGGAACCATGGGCTACAGGCATGTTTGGGATGACTTAGCAAGTGGACCTCTCTTGAGTCTTGCCTGTCTGTGGACACCCAGGGAAAGCTTTGATACAAACATTGAAATATGCTGTGTGCTGGGGAGGAGCCGCTCTGGGGTCCTGCTGGGACAGTCTTTCATGAACCTGTTCCATTCTATATGAGGGAGAATGCATGCAAGCCCCAGTGATCTCCACATCTCTGCCATCCAGTTCTGGGATTATAGACTGCACTGCCATGCATGGCTTTGTACATGCCTCCCGGGGGATCTGGACCCGGGCTGTCAGGGACAGTTACATGCTTACACAGCACACACTTTGACCACGGGACCATCTCCCTGGCTCCTTTGTTTAATTCTAATAAAATATACGGTACTATAATGTTGACTTACATGATTTAGTGACATTCACAACAACGTTCACACTATACCGCAATCATCTCCCCTCCTTCCCATCACCCCAAACAGAAGAACAATGTTCACACTGTACCACGATCATCTCCCCACCTCCCCATCACCCCAAACAGAAGAACAACGTTCACACTGTATGTCAAGTTGGCAGCATAGACCCCAGCCCCTTGCATCTATCTCAGCCCCCAGGCCTGGTCTGGACTCCAAATCCCAGCAGACCAGGTTCTGACCCCTCCCTGGGAGGTGGGGTCAGGACCACTCCCCAGGGTATTTAAATAAGTTCCCAAAAGAGGAACGTGTGGTCCCTTTTCCTTCCTCCTGGCCACCCGAGAGTGCAGATCTCCCATTAAACCTGGATATTTCTTAATTTGGCTTGTTTTGATTTGGCTTAATTGGGAATTTTATGTCGGCAGGGAGCTCGTGTTAAGAAATATTCCTAACACTGTACCTTGATCATCTCCCCACCTTCCCATCACCCCAAACAGAAGAAGCTCCTCACCTCCAAAACAATGCCTTTCAGTCTCTCTTCCCCTAAATACCACCAGTCCCTTTGTTCCAGCCCTTGTCCTCTGTTCAACTTCCTGCCTCCCTGATCTTGTGTGTCCTAAATCAGAATGATACCATGTGTGACCCTCTGGCTTCTGCCTTCCTTCATACAGGATGACATGTTTAAGGTCCACTGTCCTTTGCAGAAAGGGTTCAGAGCATGGTTTTCTATGACTGAAAACTGTTCTATTTCATGTAGACACCATGTTTTGTGTTTTATTGGTTCCCTTGTCTGTCGATGGGTTCTGAGTTTATTTCCACTGCTTGACTCTGTGTTGGCTGTTTAAATGACTATTCTACGTTGTTAATTGGGTGCTTGGTCTCCAGAGCTTACAGCTGAATGGTTCTTACTGATGGGAATTACAGATTAGCTCTTTAAACCTGGTATCCCTGAAGGATTTCCCACAGACCCGCAGAAAACGGTGCAGTGACTGAGAATGTCCCAGCTAGAAGGCAAGGTGCTCGCTCTCCTCAGCAGTGGAAGTCTTTCCCAGTGTGCCTGTGACATGATCCCTCAACTCTCATCAAGTCCCAGACATATTAATTTACCCCTTCAGCACTTTGAAGAGAAATGGCTGTCAGCAGCTGAGCCCTCATCAGTACCGCATTGGGCTGACCTTTCCGTGGGTGAAACTGTGTGTGGTGGTGGTGGTGCGGCTTCATAGACTTGGCCTAACCAAGCTGGGAACAGTGGCCTTAAAAGAGGTAAGTGGCCCTGAGCACATTGGTGACAGATATTTAAGAACAGATGAAAGGGCAGAGTAAAGGATTCCAAAAGCAGCGCGGCAGCAGCGAGAGTCAGTTCTGGAGATGGTGGAGGGGTAGGAGGTTAATGAAGAAGGCTGGCATGGAGGGCCCTGCTTGCCGGCTATGAAATGCCAGCCACAGACAGAACCAGGAAGCATGACCATCCCCTTCCATGCTTTAATCTGCTCAGACTCTGGATCATGCATCTCTCGGAGCCTCGGATTTCCTTGGAACGGCTCTCCATTTGGCTCGTGTGTTCCCATGGTGTTCCTCTAAGGTGGGGAGGGAAGGGGCTCCAGGTGAGTGTATGGGGGATGTCACTGGCCCCTGCTCTGTTCATTCCACACTCTAGGGACTCATCCATGGGCCCAACAGGGTTTGACTGGGCCGGAGGAAGGTGAAGACAGCTGGCTGACCCCAGAAGAAACCCAGATGTCTCTGTGGCATGGATTGAAAGACTTATCCAGCCCCTGGACCATTGCTGTATTAACAGCAAGGACCTGAACATGCTCAAGAATCAGAAACATGTACACCACGTTCTCACCAAACTATTCACCAACCTTAAAAATTAAAGGGCAGGGGAAGGGCTTGGCAGAATGCCTTCCTGGGTTTGTTTAAACCTCGGGTGTCTGTAGACTTGTCAGAGAGATATGCCAGACTCCAAACACTGCTGGCTTCACCCAGCCTTAAAAAGCACCAGCTACAGTTTCAAAATGAAACCACAACCCGGAGGAGCCAAACATCAGGTTAAACCGAGTTCAGTTGTGTCTGGGATTATGCTGAGTGGGCGGCCAGCAGCTGCTCCCCGAGGACCACCACCCCTTGCTCCTGTGACTTGGGGAACTCAGACCAACCCTCCCTGCTGTAGCTCCCGGGGTTTGGATGCTGAAGAACCTCCAACCTGACCACTGCTGTTCCCCAGAGCAGGTTCTAGCCGAGAGGCCTTCCAAGATCATGTTGCTGCAACAAGACAGAAATACGAGCGGCTGTGAGGGGTCCCGATCCCCTGAAGTGTCTCCGACATGACGCCACCCTTCACTGAAAAGACCCTCCACATTTCAAGTATCCTGAGCTGAATAACCAAACACAAAAGGATTCAGGTCACTCCTCTGGGGACACAATCTCTTCTTTCCTCTTTGAGAGAATTCAAATGGGTCTCTTGGGTTTTCTTGAATTGTCTGAGAAACACAGGGAAGCTGTGCTGACTAGTTCTAGTCAACTTGACACCAGCGAGAGCCATCCGGAGCAGACAGCCTCTGTGGAAACACGCCGCCATTAGACCCAGCTGTAAGGCACTGTTTCACTTACTGATCAGTCGGAGGGGGCTCAGGGTGGGTGGTGCCATCCCTGAACTGGCTGAGCCAGTCATGGGGAGCAAGCCAGTAAGCAGCACCAAGGCTTCTGCATCCACTCCTGCCTCCAGCTTCCTGCCCTATTGGAGTTCCTGCCCTGACTTCCTTCAGTGGTGAAGTGGAAGTATAAGCCAGGTGAACCCTTTCCTCCCCGACTTGCTTATTGGTCATAGTAATTATCATTGCAATGGTAACTCAAAGGAAGACAGAGGCAAAGAGAGGAAGAAACCAGTTGTTTGCTCTGCATTTCTTCAGCCAGGACCTTGGACAACCCATGTCTGGTCTACCTTCCTTTTGGAAGAGCTCCTGTCGTGGTTCCTACCAGGCTCTGAGGAAGCTCATGCCCCCCAAGCTGCAGTCCCTGCTTCTGCAGGAAACAGGCCCAGAAGGTGCTGTGGCATTCACTCTTTGCTTGGAATTTCGGGGTGAATACCGTCTGTAGTACCATCTCCCTCACCTCTCAACCCTTTGAAGAGCTTCGAGGAACATGAAGACAGATCCTGACTAACTTCATGTCTCCTGTCCTGATGTGGGACTCCCCACTGTATGCTGTGAATATGTTTCATTACCATTAGTTAAAATAGAATATGCTTTGGGTCTATGGCAGGACAGAATAAAGCCAAGTGGGAAAACCGCACAGAGATATAGAGAGAAAGTAGGCAGAGTCAAGGGGACACCATGTAGCTGCCGAAAAAGACAGACGCTGGAGAACCTTATCAGTAAACCACAAGCCTCATGGTAAAATATAAAATAATAGGAATGGGTTAATTTAAGATGTAAGAGTTAGTTAGTAAGAAGCCTGAGCCATTGACCAAGCTATATTGTCATTAATATAGTTTCTGTGTGATTATTCGGGTCTGAGTGGCCAGGAAATGAAAAGAGCAGTCTCTGCCTACACCATCCCACTCTGGGCCAGACAGATTTATCTCTTCTCAATAAAGAATCAGCAAGTGGATAAACTGTTTGCTTTTATGGGATATTTTAATGCCATATTTTTCCTTTCTTTTTAAGTTGTGGATTTGTTGTTGCTCTTATCTGTTTTCCTTTATTTTTGGCTTGGTTTATTTGAGATAGTCTTGCTCTGTAGTCAAGCTGGATTTGAATCTCCCTTAGGTTAGCCTGAAACTCATAGTAATCCTCCTGCCTCAGCCTCACACACAGCGGAATTACAGATATGAGTCTTTATTTTTCATTAACTTGAAAAAAATAGAACATAAAATCCCAGTAGCTCTGCCTGTAGTCTCAGCTTCTCATACGGCTGAAGCAGGAGGATTGTTTGGATCCTGGAGTTCTTGGAAGGACTTTGGCCTGTGCAGCAAAGGGACCCACAAACCAGGTGGCGACACAGCCTTGCAGGCATGTGAGCCTTGGAGTTTTCAACTACTTCACAGCTGTTGTCTACGTTCACCTTTTGGAAGACTTTTATGCATCAAGCGGTCGGTGTGGCTGACAGTCATTTTCTGGAAGCACAGAGGAAGAGGCCCCACCCGCTAAGGCCTCAAGATCTGTGCAGAGTGGGACATGGTAGAATGTGTAGTAAACCCTGCAGGTGTCTCAGAAAAATTTAACTACCAGCTGTCAATTAAACATTAAAATTTCAAGGACAGGTGTGACAGCACGTGCCTTTAAAACCAGGACAGGGGAGGCAGAGGCAGGCAGGGCTCTGTGAGTTCAAGGCCAGGCTGGTCTACAGAGTTCCAGGGCAGCCAGGGCTGTCCTGTTTGAGACCCTGTTTCAAAACAAACAATCAAACAAACACAAATCATTTAACTCTGGAGCCCTGAAGCGTACTCTGGGTAAGGTCAGAGGCAGCTCCAGCAAGACCTTCAAAAACAAAATCATGCTTCTGCCTCATTCTCCCTCATTCTCCCTCATTCCCCAGCCAAACATTGACACAGAGTGCACAGCTATAGTCAGGCCTTCCTCCAGGGAAGCCAGGGAGGGCGACCTGTCTGCTCTCCCCACTGACTTAAGATGTCTGTCACAGAGGTAGGAGCTTCACACGTGGTGCAGAATGGAAAATCTTTTGTTCCAAAGTCCTACCAGGGTGGAGGAGAGATGGGGAGCATAAACCTTTCAGGAGGGGAAGAGGAAAACAAAAGGTGATGGCACCTGTCTGTCATCAGCACTCCAGAGGAGGCAGGAGGACCGGATATTTTCAAGGTCATTCTCAGATGCATAGTGAATTTGAGACCAGCCTGGGCTACACGAGGCCCTATCTCAAGAGGAAGTGAGAGGTTGGGAGAGGAAGGAAGAAGAAGTAATGGAAGGAAAGAAGAAAGAAAGGAAGGAGGAAGAGAAGGAAAGAGGGGAAGAAGGAAAAAAGAAAGGGAGGAAGGGGAGGGAAGGAGGAAGGGAGGGAGGGAGGAAGAGGATGAGCCGCCGCCACGGCCCCGCCTCGCCAGGGGCTCCGCCCGCACGGGCGGGAGGGAGGGAGGGAGGGAGGAAGGGCTCTCTTACATCATAACAGACATTCTCACCACAAGCTTGTACGATGGTTCAAATGTTAAGTAATTAGTTCAAGTCCCTGAGTCCTGTCTCTTGTGAACCCTCTCCCTTCATGACTAACCCCTGGCGAATCCACTCTCTTAGCAGCGTTTACTTCTTGCTATAGTTAGCCTCAATAACATGCAGCTGTCCAGGACTGGTTCCCACCCCTCAGACCTTCCAGGACGTCACAGCAATGGTCACAGTAAGGCCGGACTCACCTGGAATCCAGGAAGATGAGCTTCAGGTCAAGGCTGGCCCTGAACATGAACATGTTGCTGTGCAGCTTGATCTCGGTGATGGCACTGGGCGGCAGCGACTGGCCCACGGCCACCAGCCCCACGATCTGGTAGCAGGAGTCGTACAGGGACATGTCCAGCATGTACTGCCTGATCTTCAAGTAGCCGCTGCAGTGGATGACCTGGGAAGAGGGCACGGACTCAGTGGGCACCGCTGCTCTTGGTTCAGGCTTGTGTGTGTGTGTGTGTGTGTGTGTGTGTGTGTCTGTGTGTGTGTGTGTGTCTGTGTCTGTGTGTCTGTGTGTCTGTGTGTGTGTCTGTGTGTCTGTGTGTGTGTCTGTGTGTGTGTCTGTGTGTGTATGTGTGTGTGTGTCTGTGTGTGTGTCTGTGTGTGTATGTGTGTGTGTGTGTCTGTGTGTGTGTATGTGTGTGTGTGTGTGTATGTGTGTGTGTGTGTCTGTGTGTGTGTGTCTGAAGTGCTAGAACATTCTTCAGGCCATTTTCTGCAAAGTTGTTTTGTCAACACGCTGACAGAAGCCTGATTCGCTGCTCTGGGGAAAGGATCTACGGCTCTGCCTTAAGAAACAATGTCCTAAAGAGACAAGTGTTTTCTGTCCAGTCAGGTGCGCAGGAGGAATGCCCCAGATCCATGCTCACTAACACATGAGGGCCTTGGATTGTAAACTCACAGCCAAGTTTGACTCCGGAACACAGCAAAGACATGCTAGGGAACTAGGTGCCCTCCTATGAATGCTTGTCTGTAATGAAAATGTTTTCCAACTTCCACTGGATTGGACCTGGTATTTCTATCACCCAACATGCTCTCAATACTCCAAGAGATTAAAAATTCTCTCAGCAAAATCTGTATTCTGGTGCAGGAGAATTATCTGTATTCTGTCAATCATGTTTTAAATAAACGCTGATTGGCCAGGCAAGAAGTATAGGCGGGAAAACCAGACAGGAAGTAGAGGTGATGCAATGAGAACAGGAGAATTCTGGGAAGGAGGAAGCTGATTCCTCCCCCTCTGCGCAGACCACCGAGAAGCAAGATGTAACTTGCCCAGCTGTGAAAGGTACTGAGCCGTGTGGCTAACATAGATAAAAATAATGGGCTAACATAAGTTATAAGAGCTAATAAGTAGACTGAGCTAATGGGCCAATCAGTTTTATACCTTATGGAGATCTTTGTGTGATTTTCTTTAGGGTTTGCTGGCTGTGGGGTACCAGGCAGGACAGAAACCCCAACAAGCAGGCCCCTCCATGTTACAGTATTCATTTAAATTGTATTGGCCAGTGCCAGGAATCCAAACTCTGGTCTTTCTGCCTGCATGGCAAGGGCCTTACCAACTGAGCCATCTTCTTAGGCCAATGGATGGGACTTTAAATTTGTTGTAATTATAATTTTAAGAAGCAACAAGCCACCAGGCAGTGGTGGCACACACCTTCAAGACCAGCACTCAGGAGACAGAGGCAGGTAGATCTCTGTGAGTTCAAGGCCAGCCTGGTCTACAGAGCAAGTTCCAGGACAGCCAGAGCTACACAGAGAAACCCTATCGTGAAAAAAAAACTGCAAGACTTAAATAAACAAATAAAAATAATTAATAAGCCAGAGTATCTACTCCACTCTTGAAGAGAAGCCCTCTCAATAGTTAGAGAACCAAAGACCACACTGGAGAGGGGCTGTATAGTTCCTGGGGCAAATAAGGTACCTTATTACCTGGAGGCACCTGAACCATCTTACATCCACAGTTAAGTAAGTGTGTTTGTCATTTAAACATATGAAATCCTATAAAGATCACGAAAGCTACAATGGTCATCTGAGTCCTTAGCTCTGTTTCTGTCTCTCTATCTCTATCCCCACACCCCACCCTTCCAGGTCTCAGGTCGCCTAAGCTAGCTCAGACCCACAACATACTGGAATATGACCTTGAACTTGCTCTGCCTCCACCCCAAAGTGCTGTGGTTTCAGATATTCACTACCACACCCAATTTATGCAGTGCTGGGGATCGAACCCAGGGCTTCCTGCATGCTAGGCAAACACTCTACCAACTGGGCTACATCCACAGCCCACACAGCTGCTCTTTTCAAAAGCTCCTTCTACAGGACTCACAGATTTACAGAGCTGGAGGAAGTCTTACAACCATTCTAGTCTCTTCTCCCACTTTCCTGATGGGTCAGTTGAGGACAAGACAGACACGTTAGTTAGGGATTTCTGTGAGACAGCTGACAAGTGGCAGACACTAGGAAAGCCCAGGACCTCCTGGAGAATGCATAAGATGTGGGCGAACTCGGTGGTTGTGTTTGCCCGGTGGGTGTGAGGCCCTAGGTTTAATCCCAGCCAAAAGAAACTGCATATAATAAAAGTGAAAAGTGGGGTTAATGCCAGGGTCAAAGGAAGAGGTCACTGGCGGGAAGACGCTGGGCCGAGAGGGGCGCGAAGAGCGTGAAGAGGGGTGTTCCACACAGAGAAGCGAAAGGCACAAGAGCCTCATAGCACCCAAGCCCACCTGCCTCCTTTTCCAAGGGGCAAGTGAGAAGGGGGTAGCAGCTCAGCAGCCTCCAGCTCCAGAGTAGCAATGGTACAAAGCCCCCACTCCCCCTACAGGAGACCCAGGGGAAGGCAAGAGACTCTGTGAAGGGTCTGCAGGGATCCCTGACAGGTTGTCTAGAACCCACCCCCTTACCCAGAAATGATTGTCTCTAACACCGAGGGATTGCCAGCTAGTCACGTAGTCCTAGATTCTGGAATTAACCTCAGCAAGTGGCGTTATCTGGTGGAGAAGGTCAACCAGGGGGAAACACGGGCTGGGCTTGGAGGTCTCGGCTGTGCCGCTCAGCTGGGCACCCTAATGTTTCTCCATTTACCTCCCATTCTTGAAGATGCACCAAGGCCAGTGTTGTTCCCTTCAGAAGGCCAAGATGACCAATTGGATGTGGTACCACAGAGACAGCACAGCCTGGCTTGTGGGCAGGCCTCGACGGTTATTGTGAAACACCACCCTGGGTACCGGATTTAGTTTGGACATTCCAGTAGTAAGAGTAACGTCCCCGTAAAGCACCTGCTCGCTGCTGCCTGGAATCCCGCCCTGGGATGAGGATCCACGTTCAACAGGCACAAGGGGCAGCTGGTCTAGAGGAGCTCACCCGTGGCAAGCAAAGTGGAACTCGTGGATTATGCTAAGCCACTGCAATCCTGGTCTTATAGGATGAAATCCAACCGGCCTGGAGCATCCGTGTAAAGTGTGAGATCTTTGGGCTCATAATCCGCCCTGAGTCTTGCTCAGTACTTCTGTCCTGATAGAGGGGACATGGCGGATTCCCTCATCCTCTCTCCTGCCTCAAGTGTGAAGCAGAACATAAGATGCACAGGGAAGACCCTGGCAGCTGTTTCACTCCCACCAGGAGCCCCGTATACCTTGTATCCACTGCACGTCAGGCCTGCGTTTCTTTTCGCCAGGACGCATTTCATTCGAAGAAAGAAAGACCTCTCTATCTCGTACTCTGAAAGCAGAGGCACCGTTAGACAGGCAGGCGTCCTGCCTGCTTCCCCAGCAACCAGACACAGCAGCCAGGGACCTCCCCACCCACAGCCAGACCCTGACCCAGAGAGCTTGGCCAACAACCTGAATCTAAGTGGGGAGGGCAATAGCTCTTGCTTATCCTGATACGGTTGCCAAAACTTTGAAGAAAAGCAGCCTGAACCATCACCATGGCGACAACCTCAGAAATCTCTAAGATGCCTGACGGAGTGGCATCTTCCCTCTTGTCACAGAGGAACTGGGTGCTACGGTGGCTGCCTGAGCTGTTGGATACCCAGAAGTGTCTAACTTCCTTCAAAGCAGCAGGTACTGAAAACCAGTCACAACTCAGCCCCGTCCCTGACAGAGGGACCCAGACACATGCACCTCTTGTCAATTACATGGTGGGCTCTGAGACGCCATAGCCAGGTAAGATGGACCGCCCTTCCCCAAGTCTTTACCAGGGCTCCCCCATCATGGCTCAACCTTTACTGCTGAGCCATTTCCTGGCCTTTTCCTTCCTTCCTTTTCCAGCCCCCACACAGGAAAATTTTGACCATGCTGGGAACTGTAGCCCCAGGTACACAGGAGACCCAGTCGGCATGCCTCACGAGGCTGCGTGTTGGGAGAGCTGGAAGGCCAGGGCCTCTGGGAAAAGCTGAGTATCTTCCTAGCACTCATCACGGCTGTAATTTAAGGAGGCGTGTGTGTGATGCCCAGGGCTTCTGACCCAATCTGTGCCATGGCACACAGCCTGAAGTCCCTGCTTAGAATGCTTCCAGTGCATAAAATAAATTACAAAAGAAACCAGCTACGTAGGGCAAAGGATTACCCAGAATATTTAAACCCGGCAATATGAGTATAACTATCTGCCTATCTGCTGCGTTAAATTAAGAGTCAGTCATGGGCCTCATCACTCAGTGAGTTTCCAAGTATCTCCGCATAAATATTTTGACATTTGTGTAATGTCTGTGGTAACAAAGCCAAGGCTCAGATGACCCCAGTGTAGCTGAAAGCCTCCAATCACGCGCAAACAAAATGCTAAACGGCATCTAAATTACACTCATGTAATTTCCCCCTGATATCTCACATTCTCCAATCCCTGATTCTGTCCTCAGAAACGGCAGGCCAAACTTAGACTCCTGATAGGCAGCACTGGGATTTTAAACCAGGAGCACGGGAGGGGACAGGCTGTGACCCAATGCCGAACAGCTTATGGCACACAGTAGGGTCTACATGATGTCAGTGAAGCAGAGGCAAGCCGAGGACAAAGTGCAGTAGTGCTCAGTCAGCGTACACAAAGCCATGGGCTTGATCCACGGTGAGCAAGCAGCTCCCGAGTGTAAGTATAGCTACACACATCGGGTGGGTGCCACTGTTAGCCTGACCCAAACCCAGCCCACTGGGAAGAAACCCGCTGATTGGAGAGAGAGCATGACCTTGCTTCACTCTGCGGGATGGAGGACAAACCTTGGAGCAGATGGTGGTGCAGCGGCGGATGGGCCGTGAGCACTGCTGTCATCTCATCGTGGTCCGAAGGATGGATGTACTCATAAATACTGTTGCCCGTGAGCTCCACCTGCAGAGGGAGGGGAGGATCAGACGCATCACTGGTCTCTCCAGGGTGGGTGCGAGGGGCGAGTGGACACACTAGGTGTGCCACAGGTTCACATCGTGCCAGGGGCAGGACTTGGGTCTCTCCTTACAGCTCACGCCTTGGCCAAATGCGGAGGTGAAAACATGCTCCGGTTTGCAGGGCTCTGAACTGTCCCTCCACCCCCACCCCGGGGAAAGGCCAAGAGCACAGGCTTGAGCTGCCAGGGAGTCTGAGCAGAAGAGGTGCGCGGGGGGAGGAGGGGAGGATGAACTGAAAGGTGGAGGTGGTACCATGGAGAGAAGCCTGGGCAGTGTCCTCCAGACAGAGAGCATCTCCAAACAGACACAAGCCAGGGCTCTGTCTGTCACCCTCACTTACATGCTGTGTGAGAGGAATGACCAGCTGGAGACCAGCTGCCTTGGGCCTTCTGCACCCCCCTGGAGAGCCACATCCACTCAGAGGCTGACCAGCTGGGAACCATGGAGGAGGATCCCCTGCCACTCAGACAAAGGCCCCTTCTGTGTCAGCACTGAAGCATGCCCCAGGCACCGCCAGAGCTCCCAGGTATTGCCAGGAATGTGTCTCTGACCCTCCTGGTCCAAGCTGACTGCTTATCCCTGTGGGTGACCAGGGTGTGGCTGTGTCCCTTGGCATGACCTGTGACCTGAGGGGGCAGGGCTGAGGCAACAGGATACTGCAGTTACTTCCTAAGGTTCCTATCTCAACATTCGGGCATCACCAACTCCCAGACACACCCACAGGGAACTCCACAGCAGGCCTTGAGGCCACACACGGGCATAACAGGGCTGTGGAGCAGACTTTTGCGCCGTGATAATGGGTCTTATATTTAGAGCTATAATCAAAAGCGTTGAGGGAGACCAGCAATCACATTAAGTATTGCCCAGTATTACTAGGTGAGGGTGGGGGCAGGAGCAGTGGTATTAATTCCAACAGAGGCAGTGGACGTCAAAGTTCAGCCAGTGGAGGAGAAACTCACATGGAAAATGCCCTAGGTGGCAGATCCTTAGTTGGATCTGAAGACTTCTCAGCTCTGCCCAGGCAGAGGGCAGATCAAGACGACAGAGAGAGGTTGTATCGCTGGAGCTGTCCCCGACCTCAAACACTCTAAGTGGGTGATACTGTGGGTACACCCAGAGATCCTTGCTATAGGTCACAGGATCATCTGTCCAGGGGTGACCCTGACTGTGCCACCCCAGGAAACAGCTTAGTGACATGCTGGGACCCACAGCTTCACATTAGCGTCCAGCCCCAGTGCTTGGCCACGAAACCATGAAGAGGTGACTGCTACCCCATCCATCCTAGCCAGCGCTTCCAGTTCCTTTGCTTTTGACATAAATTACAATCCTAGGTCTTGTCCCCCCAGATTGCGTCCACCTTTCTATTTCCTTCAAATACTATGCAAATAGCAATGGGGAATCCAAGCGCAGGACTTCACCCTGCCATCCACCCATTTAACCCTCCCGCTCCAAACTGGAGACTTTGCAACCCACCCCAATGCAGATCGGCCTATGTGAAAATATACCGCATGACTTCAACAACATCTTCAAATTACATCGACTATTGGTTACTTGTTTATTTGTGTGTGTGTGTGTGTGTGTGTGTGTGTGTGTGTGTTGGGGAGGAATGCACACATGGGGAGGCCAGAGGACAACATTTTGGATTTAGTTCTCTCCTTGCACAAAGTGGGTTCTGGGGCTTGAACTCACCTGAAGATTAAGTTTTAGGGCTTTTGTTTGGTTGGTTGGTTTGGTTTGGTTCTGTTTGGTTTTTCGAGGCAGGGTTTCTCTGTAGCTTTGGAGCCTGTCCTGGAACTAGCTCTTGTAGACCAGGCTGGCCTCGAACTCACAGAGATTGCCCTGCTTCCCGCCTCCTGAGGGCTGGGATTAAAGGCGTGCGTCACCACCGCCTGACTGAAGATTAAGCTTTATGGTGACAAACACCTTCACCACTGAGCCGTCTCCCTGGCCAGAAGATTTCACTAAAAAATAAAAATGAGTCTTTTTTCTTGCACAAAATTCTTGTTAATCCCTAAAAGACTTGAACAGACCAGCCAGCTGGAAGCCTGCTGTTTGAGGCGGAACATTACCTTTCTCTGAAGGCGGAATTCACTGCAAAGGCAGTTGACGGGCTGGCTCCGTCTGATTGTCCTTCCTTCCCTCCACCAACCTCCCTGTCTACTCTCACCCTACCCCACCATGGAATTTCAAGGATTATTTTAAAAAACAAAATAAACCAGAGACGAGGATGGATTTTATATTGTCCAATTATTTCTCTCTTACTCGCTGTTTTAGAAGGAAGTGAGCATTCAAACTTGGTTGAAGTTCTGTTTGGAAAAACAATAACATGCTCAAGTGATGTCTCTCTGCAGACAACACCTTCCCTGCCGGTGCGATTTCAGAACAGTCCTGCCTTTTAATAAAACGGTGTCCTCTGCTTTCAAAGCTCCTGTTCTCATGAAAGGGGTTGAGTTCAAAGCAAGCCAAGATTTGTGGATGAAGGACTTGGTCTTTTGAGCTCTGGGGTTCATTATAACACAAATAGAGCCAGGCAGAGGTGGCGCATGCCTCTAATCCCTGCACTCAGGAAGCAGAGGCAGATGGATCTCAGTGAGTTCGAGGTCAGCCTGGTCTACAAAGCAAGTTAGGACAGTTACACAGAAAAACTATGTATAAAATATGTATTAAAAAAAAAAAAAAAAAAAAAAAAAAAAAAAGGAAAAGAAAAAAATAAATAATTAAAAAATATGAATGGGAAAACTCTAAGGCCATCCAGGAAGCCCCATTGCCTTCAAACAACGGAAATGTCTTCATGGAAAAAATATGGAGTCATATATAACAGTGCTGACCTTAACTCAAAATTACGGTTGATGTAGCGTTTCCTGTATTTATATATGTACTTGTGTTTTTGAATACTGAAAAAAAGTGGCTCTTTCACCCCAGCCCCCCCAATATACATATATAAATATGTAGATATGTGTTTGTCTCGATGAAACTTCCCAGGTCTCATATCTCAGCTTCACTGAAACAGAACATCAACGCGATGTTTTAGCATCGATAAAACCCTGCCGACTGCAAACGCCATGGCGTTCCTGCTAGAGCTTTTTACTGCTTTGCTGAATGACTTCTTCCTGCTCAGAAAGTTGATATGATAAGTTCACACCAAGGGACAGATTCTGTGTGGAGAGGCAGAGTCACTGGGCCCCTGGGAGGTGTGCACGGCTCTGCTGGCCGTTTTGCTGAGTGTAGCAGATGAAGCATTTTAAACTGAAATGGTTTGAGCTTCAGGGTTCAGCTATGTAAACAAACATGATGCTGCCCTTTATCCCCACAGTAAAGGGGATCTGTCTGTATCCCTCAACGCCATAGCTGCTAATTTTATTGGCCACTGTCTGGCATACTTCTCAAATATTGCATTCTGCTTTATGTGTACCATAAACAGCTATTTCACGTATGTGCACATGTCTTTGAAAATGAGTGTTAGTTACCTAGACATTGTGTAACATAAGTTAGTTATATTTAAACCATATGGGTATTTCAAATGTATACACAGCTATTTTCCCATCATCAAACATAAGTAAAATGATTATATTAACAATTGAAGGAAGAAGAGAGGGAGGGAAGAAAGGAGGGAGGGAGTCCTTTAATAAACATCCACAGATAAAGATGCCCCCCCAAATCCATCCCGTTGCCTTAGGCATGTCCATGTGTTTTATGTATGAGCACAGACACGGAGTAGACTTTGGGCCCAAAGGGTCTCTATTTCCACACTGTGCTGGGCTGAGGACATGGCTCACATGTGATTGTTTCTGTCCTTTAAAAAACAGAATTTGGCAGCCGTGGTCACATTTGTTTGCTAATAGAAAGTCAAAATAAAGGAATAAATTCTCCCCTAAGAAATAGATTTCTTTTTTGTTTTGTTTTTGTTTTTTTGATTTGTTTGTTTGTTTTTTGAGGCAGGCTTTTTCTGTAACTTTGGGGCCTGTCCTGGAACTTGCTCTGTAGACCAGGCTGGCCTCGAACTCACAGAGATCCACCTGCTTCTGCCTCCCAAGTGCTGGAATTAAAGGTGTGCGCCACCACTGCCTGGCTTAGAAATAGATTTCTTGTTCCACCATTTATTTTTAGAATGTAATAATGGGCTTTAAACAGAGATGGGCTTCCTATGCACGAAGGGCTATTTTTACCTCCACTTGGATGATGTCACTGTAAGTTCTGTGAACACAGAAGGGATGGCAACATGCACGTAGGAGCTGTGAATGACCCCAGCTGTCCTTCATCAGAGACATTACCAGGATCCCTAAGCTTGCTCACTAAAGTCTAACTGATGCCACTTTATTTTATTTTGCTGTTCTGGGGACCGAACCCAGGGCCTCATGCCTCATGCTCACCACTGAGCTACATCCCAACCCCAACACTTGTATCTCTGATGATCTTATTTAAGAAGCATCTTTACATAAACTTAAATAACGTGAATGTTTGTCATATTGGCTTCACATCTGGGTAATTGTAGAAATAATATTGCAACAGGGTTTCTCTGTGTAGTCCTGGCTGTCCTAGAATTCAGGCTGGCCTCAAATTCAGAGATCCTCCTGCCTCTGCCTCACGATCGCTGGGATTAAAGGTGTGTGCCACCACCACTCAGCATGCAAAACATGTTTTTAAACATGTAGTTGGCGCAGTATCCCATTCAATACTTCTGTTCACTATTTAAGTAAAGAAGGCAGAAAAAAACTGCAGCTCTGATCTGCCTAGCTTCCCCTCTGTGGTGCTAATCATGAGCGGGAGACGCATTTAGGGGCAGATTTGCTGTTGCTTATTTAAATGACTCAGCACAGATAGCCCCAGACACCAACAAGGGTCTCATGGCAGCAGCCTTACTGTGTGTTGGAACTGCTGACTGGGTCTCACAGCCTCACTTTGGAACCAGGAAGAAACCAGTAGTTCTGCAACTCACTCAAGGGTTTTGTGGTCCCTCCCTCTAAGCTGATTTGGCTTCACGCTGTTTAAACTGCCCTTTTTTCTGGGGATACATCATCAAAAGGCACCCTCCTCCAACCTTCTTGCAACATAGTAGCATGAAGCTCTCTCCCTTTTCAAAAGCAGTGCTACTAAGTTTTGTTTCTGAGCCTGATCAAAAGGAAACATGAGCCACAACTCATGTGGTCGCCCAGTTTTCCTCTGTGGAGAATCAGGAGCAGGACGCAAGTGTGTCTGTCACCTGGCCCATGCTGAGGCCATGCTTAATTAGAGTATTCATAGTCAATCCATCCCATTTCCCACATGGAAGGAGAAAAATGACCAGTAGAAGCCGGCTGGTAGAGCCAGCCACCTACTGGAAGAAGGGGATACCTCAGGACCTAGGCTGTGCCAGCATGTTCCAGATACCAGGCCAGTCCTAACAGGTGTCCGGGAAAGGATTCTGCACCTGGGTTCAAATGAAGCTGTCAATCAAACACAAGTTATTTATTCAATCTGTGCCTTGAGAGAAGGTCAATGGCATTATTTTAATATTTAAATTATTAAAATCACGTTCCCGGACCTTGAGTGCCTGTCCAATGAAAACTATATAACTGATCCTCTTTTTTTGTTTTGACTTTGAGGGAGCTCAGATCTAAGTTTAACATTCAATATTAGTGACTTTGTTATTTTAAAAGATTGCTGAGCAGTCAGCCTAAACAGGCATGAAAAGTTTTGTCGTATTTATGACATTGTAGGACTAATGGCGATTTTACAAATTACAAATAAAAGTGAAAAATAATCCAATCAAGATTCTTTGACCACAGATCAAGTCAGGAGAATAAACTAGTCTAGGTACAACTAAAAGGCCCTGGCTAGTTCTGCATGCAATAATGATCTAGAAACTCATAGAAAAATAACCACAAGCCTCCCTCCCTCTCTCCCTTCCTTCTTTCCTGTTTTGGGGACTGAACCTGGGAGCTCGGTGCAGTCCGTGCTCTACCGCCGAGCTCTGTTTCCAGCACTACAGACAGTAAATTTCATGTTGTCAACAGTATTTCCAGACTTACAAGTATGCCAATCCTGAGTCACAAGTTACAAGACTTGAGCCTTAATGTGCTGTATTCAGAAGAGCTGGTCTCACTTTTTAAAGAAGGGGGGAGGAAGAAAAGGAGAAGAAGAAGCAGTGGAGGGGAGGAGGTGAAGGAAAGGAGGGGGAGACAGAGGGAGGAAGGAGGAGAGAGGAGGGGGCCTTTGGAGGAAAAGAAGCCTCCACCCAACCATGATGTGCAGCTCACTGACTTTGTTTGAACAACACAGAGGCGCAGACCCAGGGATGCAGGGATGCAGGGATGCAGGGATGCAGGGATGCAGGGAGCAGGGGATGCACAGGAGGAAGTTACACACCAGGCACGAAATGCTTTAAAATGCGTTGATGATGGAAAAACAAACGGGACTGCACCATTAGTGGTTTCCAAATTTGGTGATTTTTTTCCTTTCAATGAAAGTGGTTCATTTTTGCCTAACTACAGGGAGAAGTTCAGAGTCTCCATGTTTCTTCTCCTATTCTTCATATTATCCCTAATTCTTGTGTCCTCCACCATCAGTTGGTTACGCTGACAGAGAGAAACATTTAGTTCCTGCTCTATAAAAACAGGGACTTGCCTTGCTGGGCAGTGGTGGTGCATGCCTTTAATCCCAGCACTTGGGAGGCAGAGGCAGGCGATTCTCTGTGAGTTCAAGGCCAGTCTGGTCTACAAAGGGAGTTCCAGGACACCTGGGACTATTACACAGAGAAACCCTATCTCGAAAAACCAAAACCAAAAAAACCTGACCTCCCAGTGTGTGTCTAATATTCCTGTTTATGGCCATAGACAAATGCTCCTCTCAGCCTCGATGGGGGGGGGGGAGTGGGTGGACCTTCTCTTTGCACCTGAGAGGTGGCCACTTCACAGAAACGTGACTGCTCAAGCGAATGAGTAACATTGACCTCTCAGCCCTAAACAGGATGTCTGTACCACCGCCTCTTAGGCTCAGGAGCATTGCAGAAGTGGGGAATCCACAGGCTGGAGTTCGAGCATGGGTGAGGGAGGGGCTTGGAGGCCCCGCCCCTGACCGCTGAACTACTGATTATTGATCACTGAGAGAAGGGGAGTCATTGCCTGTCTCCTCACTGATGACTCCACCAGGCTCCAGAGAATAACTTGAAGCTAGCAGTCACACCGAAGGCTCCAGTCAAGCTCAGTGGGTCACAGAACAAAACAAAAAAGACAGGAGTGGAAGAAAGGCGTTGGTTCTGAAGTGAGGGAGACAGAAGTGGGTGGAGGGAGAGAGTTGTCGGACGCATTATATACACACATGAAACTGGTCAAAGAACACTTTTTTAAAATGTGACCTGTCACTATGAGCCATGAATGGAGTGAACAGGAGTGACCTTTCAACCTCTCCCATCTAGCAAACTCTCCAGCCGACCAGCAAACTGAGCCTACCTCCTTCCTCTAAGGAAAGGTACTCTGGGAAAGTTCTAAAGAAACCAGGACCTCACACAGTACTGGTGAGCTGACTGTGACTTTCGATCAGAAGCCCTATAAAATGCTCTACTGAAACAACCACTGACCTGGAAAAAAACTCGGGAAAAATGACCCTGAGTTCCACAGGAACAACCCCAGGGTCGGCTCCTTCCCTTCCGTCCCTCCAGTGCACATGTCACACAAAACCCAGTTAAAGAGGTTTCCTTTTGATCCACAGCCATGCCTAATATCACACGCAGACTGTGAGCAAGCCTAGAAGGGTCTCCCCGGGAATAGGGAGATGCTCTTTTTGGTGCCATCTCACATTGCTAAATGACAGGTCAGGAAATCTGGCGAAATCTCAGAACAGGGCTGACCACAGTTGAGACAGACTGACATTAACTCAAAACAAAAAGAAAGTAGGCACATAAATGTCCTGAGAGGATCCCCCGTGTAATGTCCGGGGGCGGGGGGGTTACAATTATGGACTATGCTCAGACATAAAAGCAGACCTTAAACAGAGTCATTCCAGGTTGGGGAAACTGGCACAACTTAACATTTACTGTTTCAATGGACCCAGAGAATCGGCAGTACCTACCTGAGACAAGCCTAAATGGACAGAAGCGGTCTCAGATATATACATGATTTTGCCATCAGAGGCCACCACAAAAACAAAGCCATCCAGAGTCTGTAAAGAGAAAGTGTCAGCGTAAGAGAATGTAGTTAGACAACAGCAGCCAGAAGACACTGGGCTGGAGGAGAAAGGCTGAGGGGTGTAGCTTTATGAGGGACGGTGTTTGCTAAGCACGCATGGGCTCCCGGGGGCAACACTATACATGGACATATTTGTTATAAGATGAACTAAAAGCCCAGGGCTGTAAGGACTGCAGGTAATGCTGCTTGCCTTCTACTTCCCAAGGTAGGCTCTCAATGGCTCTCAAAGCACTTTTAAAGCAATCTTACGTCCACATTACAGAAGGACGCAAATTGTCTGAGATGTCATAACCCGCTCAGTTGGAACACCGTGGCTTTATTGTTTGGCTTATTTTAGCTCTTAGAATGGATCCGGCGTTCTATGACTCTTAGGGGAGCATCTACCGCTCTACAGACGACTTAATGTGGGAACTGGCAGTTGCTTGCACCACTAGGACCAGCGCTTTATTTGCCACAGTTTTCTAGTTACCCCTAAGTACCATTTGAATAATAAATTCCTACCATTGCCGTTCGCCAGAAAATAAAACAATATGTCCGATTATTCTACCAGACCGTGTCTACAGAATCAAGCATTTAGACTTTGAAAGAGATCAAATGACCTTTGCCAAAGTCAGGGAGGAAAAAGGTATCAATTTCTGAAAAAATGAAAATGGCTCCAATGAAATTCTGATTTCTGTCTGAGTCGGCTAACCCTCCAGAAAAAACGTGAGACTGTGAAAAGTGATTCCGACAACAAAAGAAAGCAGCACCAAGCAGAACAAAAACACACTTCTTGAAAAGAAGAAACTTTTTTGTATTTACTCATTCATATTTTAAGATCAGGAATCCCCAAAAAAAGGGGGCAATAAAGTTAGCTTTTTAAAAAAAACAATATAACTCACAGTGCTCACCCATAAAAATATCCCAAATTAATTTCTGGCTACAAATTCTATTTTTACAGCATGTAATTGAAAGCAGAGTACTGCTGAGTTCTTCAAAAACAGTCCTCCAAAGGGGTTGGGGTGGTGGAAAGGGTGCTGTGGAAATAAAACGAAGGTATCTTTGCATCCTGCTATATCACATAGTTTGCTACCAAAATTCTTTGCCATTGAACCTGCTCTTGCCTTCAGGTAAAGTCACTTAAAAAAAAATCGGTCCCGTTTTAACTCAGCAATGTAGCATTTTCCTAACGGAATCGGTGACAATTCAGTTATGAAAACCAAAAATCAGTTTCTAACGTTCTGATCTGGATGCTGGACTCCAAATTCATTTAAGAAATACCAAATGGATCTCTCACTGCATCTAAGGAAATGAACGGAAGTTTTTAAAGTTACGATTAAAAATTGAAAGTTGCCAGCAGTAGCTTACCAAAAAAAGAAAAAAAAATCCTGTTCTCAGAGGGAAGAGTGGAGCGTCACTCCACAGGAATTACCCACGGAAGACTTTCATAGGAACGCTCACTTTACCCACTGGGTTTCTTCTAGGTACCTAGGTCTTAGTTGTTCCTGACGTGAATGTCACAGTATGAAGGGTTTAGAATATGCAAACAGCCGGTTCCCGGCTGCAAGTGAGCTCCCAGCTTTCGCGAGGGCACAGACACGAGGCCCACCCGACTCTGCCACCACAGCAATGGCTGTGAAAGTTCCAGGTTCCAAATACCGCTCCCCTCCCCATTCTCTCTTACCCGAGGGTGCGCGGGTTTTAGGTTTGGAGCAAAGGTTTTCAAGAAGCTGGGAGTTTGTGTTGTTCGCTTATCTATGTCTCTCTGACCACTAGGGCCTTCCGTGACATTTTTAAAGAAAACACAAAATAGAAGAAGGAAATGCAAAATAGCCAACAGTGGGCATTTTTCGGTGGCAGAGACAAATGACAGGAGTGGGGGAAATGAATCGCGTCCTTGATGGGATTCTGAGAACCGCATTTGAGATGCGAGGGAGGTGGCGCTGTCCTCAGCTACCCCCTTTCCACAGCTGATGTGGAAGCGGCCGCTGCGGGCGCCAGGGCTACCCAGCCCCAACCGCAAGGCCGGGGCCTGCCTAAAGCCGAGGTAGCCATGTAGGGCTCTGAGGAATCTAGTGCCTGACCCCAAAACAAGAAAGAATTCCGAGACAGATGACTCCGGAGGACGCCCCATATCTGGGTTATTGATGGGGGCCACAGAACTGGACCAGTTGTATTTGCGACCTCGTGACTATCTCTTAGAACTTCCCTGTCCTCAAGTTTCCGCTCAGAATAAAATGGAGAGGGCTGCGGGGGAGGGGTGCAGCGAAGTAAAAAAGGTTTTAAAAAAAGAATCTGGCATGGGGTTGGGGAACCAAAGAGAGTCAAAGATTCGCTTACTGCCTCTGTCTTCTCAACTTCTGCGGAGCAAGGGAGCTGGGCGCTCTGCGTGCGAGCGAGCTGCAGTCACTCCAGGGCCCGCTCAGGTCTGCCCCAGGGAGAAGCAGAAAGCCAAGGATCCAATCCGGCCCCAATCCTGCATTGCTGGTGGGGTGCAGGGTGTTCGTGGCGCTGGCCTGACTCTGCACTCTGGACCAGAGGCACTCCAGGTCCCCGCTGCCCCGCGTCTCTACGGCCTGGGGGCGCCGCGGGGAATCCCTCCCCACATCTGACACCACGCGAGTCCCGGTGGTTCTACCTGCAGCAAATGGGATCCCAGCTCTTTGGCCACGCTGTCCAGGGGCCCTGTTCTGCTCGGCTGTCCCCACGCGTCTCCTAGACCTGGGACAATGGAATAAAGCAGACATTTAACCGCAGCATCCATAAACGCCAGGGTTCCAGGTCAGACACGTGGAAACCCGCAGCCCACACGCCCCAACTCCGACCTCTACGGGCCACCCTGCTCCTGAGTCCTCGCTGACAACCCGCGTGTCAGGGTTTAAAAACCCAAAGCCTAGCAGCCAGACGTGATGGCGCGTGCCTTTAATCCTAGCACTACAGAGGGTCTCTGAGTTCGAGGCCAGGCTGGTCTAGGAATGATTTCGGACTAGCCTGAGCTGCACAAAGAAACCCCGTCTTTAAAAACAAACAAACAAAACAAAAACAAAACCACCGGGGGGGGGAGCGCAAACAAATAGAAACAAAAACCCCAAAGACAGAAGACAAACTTCCCGGGTCCCCCCTCCCCCACTTCGCTCCCGAAGCCCACCGGATGCACCGCCCAGGAGGGTCGCCCACGTGCTCATGGCTCTGAAATTGCCGTTTTACTTGAAATGCCACAAAGTAATCTAATCTGCTTTGAAACTGGCCATCCTCGGAGCCAAACGGGGGAGGTATCGATTTGACCAGTAAATACTCCCGCAGGACCTGCGGTCCGGCCCTCCTCCCACCCCTTCCCTGTGCAGGTCGTGTGGCCCTCTGTCTTCTGGGCGCCCACAGCCTCTCGGGAACTCAATCCTCTTCGATTCCAGAGTTCCAGGTACACTCGGGTGGCTTTTCGGGGCACTTGTCTGTTCTCGCACAATCAGGGGTCCCCCATCACCTCCACCTACCGGAATCCCTTAAGATCTGAGGTTTTCCATCATCTCCCTTCCACCCCAGAGTGCACCTGGGAAGAGAGAGCCCGGCCCTTCCCTGTCTCCCTCTTCCCACGCCCCTGCCCCAGCTGCTGAAACCCCGCAGAGGTTTTCCTCGGCAAGTGACCAGAGTCTCAGCGGGAGCTCGAGCCTCCACCCCACACACCCGTGTTGTTCACGCCTGTTTCTATGATGGGGTGAGCCAAGCCCAGTAGGCACATCCTCTGGGAAACTGCAGGCTAGACCAAATCTCTTCCTGCCTGTGTGCCTTCAGTGCGGAGATTGGGGTGGGGGAGGGGAAACACAGGTCGGGGGCCACTCGATAAGGTTGGACACTCTGAGCAGGCATCCTGATCTGCTTTAGCAAATCGCGGTGGCTGCAAACCCCCAGGTATGGTTCCCTAAGAGTCATCGCCGCTGACACGTGGCCTCTGAGCCTCCAACCTAGGAAATAGAAAACGTACCCGAAGTCCAGTACAGGATTCCTGTAAACCATTCAGAAACTAAAGAAAGGGGTAAGCTCTAGTTTCTGCTCCCATTTAGGTCTTCACAGAGAGAAGAGGCTAATTTGCCCTTATATCCCAGTGCCAAGCAAAGATCCCTGGTCCCTGAGCCTCCGCCTATGAGCAAGGATGGCTCTAAATCAGCTTCTCTCCACACACCCACACACCGAAACCCCTAACCCCAGCAAAGTTAGCTTCAGGCTAGGTACTTTGTTCTGTGGAGAGGAAAGCTGGGCATCAGGCCTTTAACCCCACTTGGACAGCCTTGGAAAGAACCGAGTGTAAAATCCCCGGAGGCTCGCTGAGAAGAACGAATTAGGATCTAGTAAATCTAATCGCTGATGAGTAGTAGTGATTGCCACCTCCTCTGCCTCTGGGTCCTTCCTGAGTTTGGGTGGCATTCCAACCATAAAACCATCCTTGACCCCTTGACCTCCCCCTGCCCCTCCCTGCCACCCTACAACGTTTCTGACTTCTCCCAGAGTGAATCTTCAGGGACCCTTCTCGTTTGGAAATGACCTCCCAACCAGCCGCCTTCATGGTCGGGCTTCCTCAGAAACCTGTGGAGGTCCTGTCTCCACAAGCAGCAAGGCCCTGGACACACAGGACTATTTCAGTATAGTTCAAATACCTGGATGTTTTTGTACATCACTATGATTTTCCTGTACCTTCTCAAAAATGTGTCTCCTTTGGATCTGGCAGAAGTGTCTGGGCTGCAGTGGGACAATTCCTCCACTCCCCCCGCCCCACACAACCACTTCATCCCATAGCAGAGGCTCTGCCAGCTCTTCCATTAGGAGCCGCTACAGGAGAGGTCTTCTCACTCAGCCCATAAAAGTATACTTTGGGCTGAACTTAGAGCCGGAATAAAGTAAGGTTTGTCATGAGGAGAGGAGGCTTGCTGCTGGAAAAAAGCTACATATGCTCCTGAAAACTGAAGTGCCAGGTGAATACCCTTATCTAGACCCAACCAAGGGTTTAGGTATTTATTTGAAGAGTGGGGGGCGGAGTTGAAGACTGGGATGGGCTGCCCCAGAATTCAGAGTTAGTGGTCATCACTCACATAAGACCCTAAACCTCTTTCTCCCCAGGAAGAGAGCTCAACCCAACCCCCGACCTGCAGTTTCCCAGACTTAATATTGGGACCCCCAACACTTATTAACCTCTGCAAGATGAGCTGAGAACCCCCGGATAGAAGACCAGGCCCCATAGTGAGACCTCAGAGAGAAATTGCTGAGACCACTTGAGAGGGAGCCAAGGCCACGTGCCTATTTTTAGTGATTTCTCCTCTGCTATCCTGGGTCCTTGGCCCTACGCTGCTTGCCCTTCAGTTTAAACGCCAGCAGACCACTGGCATCAAGAGGCTAAGTAGGATCCCTTCTCTCTTGGCCTCTTGGTCAACAAACAACTTATGAGCAACTATGAGGGTCTCAACCAGGCTCTTGGGGGTACCTCCAGACACGGACCACAGACCACAAACACTGGGCCACAAAACAAGAGATTTAGAGCAGGAAGAGAAATGAATTTCTCTCTGGGAGGCTGGCTGCCCACTTGCAACTCAGGGGCAAGGACAGATACAACTGTAGCAATAAGCAGGATTCTCCTGGTCAGGAAGGGGAGGCGCCTGGGCTGGGTGAGAACAGTGCGGTCCCACATCCATTCTCTCTCACCCCTCAACACTGAGTGTCTAAAAGTGGTGGCACAGAAACCCTTCACCGGGATCTTGTGAAAATATAATGGCTTTAATACTTCCCTCCTTCTGGGGGGCTGCCTGGCCCCCACCCTTGCAAAGAAAGAAGAGAGTAGTTAGGGAGCCTCCTCTCTGGCAGAGCTCTGGCCTATTTTCCCTCCCGCCATTGTTTAAGGCCCTATCTCCTCCTGATCTTCTGACTACCCCAGGAGCTCTAACCTCCACTGTCAATGGCTTGTCTCAGGACTAAGTTAGGGAGCACTGTCTTGAGCCCTGGTGTCTGCGGTGCAAGCCATCAGCACCCCATAGTCCCTCGTCCTCCTTCTAGGTCTTTCACCTCCCCTCCCCCAATTATCACTCTTAGAGAGTAGGGGAGAGGGCATGTTTCTGGGGAAGTCAGTAAAAATGGGTAGGGGTGAGGAGCCAACGCTTTTTCAAGGGCATGCAGGTCCCGGTTACAGGAGTCGCCTAAGCCCTGCTACCCCCCCACAGTATCCACAGGGATCTAAGCACCACCAGGAATCCTTGCCCTGCTTCGGGTTCAGCAGTCGCTAGGCAGTCACTAGGGCCGCAGCCTATGCAGGGTGTAAAAGCCAGACTTGAGATTTAGACCTCTGGCTTGCTTTTCCAGTTGGTGCCTCTAATACGTCTCCTTGATAGACAATGTGCCCCTAAATTGTCTCTAGGTCACTAGTGCCACTCCCTTAGAGTCCTTCTGCTCTCTCCAGGTCCCTGAAAAAGCCCCTCCTGGTACCCCCATTTCAGATCAGGCGGCCAAGGTGGACCATGCACCAGGTATAACTGTGAACAGTGGGTCTTTAAAACTGGGTGGCCATCTACAGGTTTGTGGGACAAGGAAGGGGATGGCTTTAAGGTTTGGGTATCCCATCACAGGCTAGAGTGTACAGTCTCTGACACCAATGCAAAGGCCCCTGAGATAGCCACCTCTAAGGCTGAATAAATAAATAGCCCTATTAAGTATAGGATACAGCCCCATGGGCCACTCCTGGGAGAATGTGACCTGGCAGAACCGAGCGCCCATGCCCATGGGTGAAATTCTCACCTGCAGCTTCTTACTCTGCAGCATGCCAGCATGCCAGTCCCCTCTCCAAAGTCAAGGACTGCACCAGGGACAGAGACCACACCAACCCCGTGAAGATAGAGAGAAGGTTGTAAAGACAAACAAAACAAAACTCAAAAATACAGTCCATGGTCTTAAAAACACAGTATATGTTTTTGGATTTTCATAGCAAAGGGCCTCCGGGGTCTATAATTCTATATTGGCGTAGGGCAAGAGTGTCCTCTCCAAAGTTTCAAAATCAAATTATTTTGACCCAAGGAAGCATGACCGGGTATTTTGTAGAGAGGTGAGGGGCTGTGTGCAACAACTGAATTTAAACCCCAAAGAATCTAGCCGCTGGCATATTTCGGGTCGTGAACACCGCCCCCCCTCCGTGTGTGTGTGTGTGTGTGTGTGTGTGTGTGTGTGTTCCTTTCTTGTTAGTACACTGGGATAAGGCGCCCATGCCTCTCCACCCTCCCCCCAACATGGAAACAGGAACAAGAGAGGAGATTCTGTCCTGAGCCTAGCCTTGGGCCAGTCTCTCCTGCCAGGAGTAGAGTGCTGGATCCAGAGGGAACACCCATCCCCGCTAACAGGAAGCCCGCTCTGGGCTCTCTTAGATGGTCTGGTGGAATCCACAGCAGTGGTGGCTCTGGGGCTGGCTGGTAGAAACTGGGCACCCTCTGCAGGGATTACCCCATATTTCAAAGCTACTCCAGAGGCTGGGCCAGATTGCCCAGCAGAGCACAGGCTGTGCCATTCCCAGTTACCCACTAAGATGTGTCCCATCTTCCCGAATTCTAGGCCTTCTGCTTTGCTGAGCTGCCCTCCCCTCCCTGCTTACCTCCCATATCAGTTTAGCATTGGAAAAAAATAGGTAGAAAGTAGGGGGTCTTTAGACATGGCATGCTGCCCTGCCTCCTTGCCATTCATGGGTTTGTGGGCAGCACAGTGATGAAGTGGGCTTCTGGATCTGTTGCAAGGCTCCCCTGTGTTTTCTTTCGCTTGCATCCACAACAATGCTGCAGGGACGCGGAGTTCTCAATGGGCCTGGCTTACGGAGACAGCAGAGACAACGTGGCAGAAGACCCGGACGCCTTCCGCAAAAATGGAAAGCATTGCTCAAACGATGGGACTTCTCCAGCTTGCTGCCTGACCCTTCCCGGTTTCTCTTTCCTGTGGTCTCCACTGCTGGACTACAGGGCCGCCAGTTACTAGCATTAGCTGGACCGCTGGCCTGTCCTTCGTTGGCCTCCCTTTCCCCAGCTAGGAAGGAGGTCCTCTGAGGCATTACACCAAACTTCATTTCTCAAGTTTGTCTTCTAGATTCTCCTTTACCCGATGAACACCCTTGCTCAGAGCAAAACTGTGTTCAGCCGATGGATTCTTGCTCAGAATCCTTTTTATGAGAGAACCTGGACTGCCCTGACCGACCAAGCCTCCTGAGAGCCGCAATCTAGACTTAGCAGATCAGGGTTCCCCCAAAGCAGGTTAAATGGATTACAGGGAGAACTGCCTTGGGAGAAGGGAGTACTTTAGTCTGTATAGCAGAGGTACTTCAAAAGACAAGCCCCCGCTTTTTGTGAGAGACCCCCAGCTTCCTAACTGCTGAGCCTGAGCCTGAGGAATTACCCAGATGGTGAGCGGGTGGGCAAGCTCCTTAGACCCCAGGCTGCCCCTTCTCTAACAGCATTTTCTGTGACAGTATTGCAGGAGAGGGGTGGTGGGGTTGGGGCATTTCCCTTTCCTCACCTTGGACCCACAATTTCAGAGCCAGTTCCAAAAATTTCTAGGGCCGAATGACTTCCGGCTGGCCCCTTCAGGGGGTGCCACCCTTTCAAAGTCACCTTCTAGGAGGCAGAGGTGGCCCCTCAACTGGGCATCATCCGAACAATGCACCAGCAACAGTTGCTCAGGGCAGCACCCACAGACCACCCACTCCTGCAGGGACCCAGGACCCAGCCAAGTGCCTTCTCACACCTCCCAGACAAAAGCTTGCTTAAAATGGCCTCGGTGGTACCGTCCACACAACACTGTCTGGGATTTGGTAGTCTATGCTGGCCAGCTCCCAAACAAGAATAACTTACAGTTAGTTAGTCCTGTTCGCCAAGGCCTTTTACTCTTTTGATGATTTCTTTCTAATTTTAAAAAACCCAGTAGGGCTGGTTGAGGCAGGAGGCCTGAGTCCCACACCTATTTTGTAGCATGCGGATATGAAGGCTGATCACAGAACACCAGATAACAGGGCTCTTCCCGAGAGGAAAGGAGACTAAGGAAAAGCTGCCGTTATAAAACTCAGTTCGATTTTTTTTTTCACCTTTTCACCGAAGCTTCAGGCAGCAGGGAAATCACCTCTACTTCTCGGGCCAAAAGGTTCATGATTGGCCGTAATGACTAGTATCCCAGACCAACAGCTTTCCCGCACGCTTAAAGGGAGAAATTCTGAGGAACGCTCCTTGGGCCCAGCTGAGTAGGTTTTTAGGACAGTCGGGTTCGGGAGCAAGAGCTCTCGAAGCCGGGCTGGGAGGAAGGGGACAGCCACCCTCCGGACACCCCTGCTCCCGGGTGCTCCGAGTTCGCCGGCACTTACTGCCCGGCTCCGCGGCTAGGACTGGAAGCTGCACCCGCGGACAAGACCGCCGAGCTCCACCACTGTAGTGGAGGAAAATTCAACCAAGACTCAGACAAAGGAAATAACAGCTTTGCGGGTGGCAGCCGCAAAGGCGGCTTACCGATTTCGGGTACAGCGCCCAGCGGTAAACAATACTAATGGAGAAGTCCTGTGGCCGAGGGACACCTGTCGCCACCGGGGCCACGGCCTTCCAAAGTCTGTCTTCCTTTCCCGGCACTGGCTCTCCAAGAGGCCTGCTCCGCACTGCCAGTCCCCGAGCCGGGAGGTCCTGGAGGCAACAGGCCTCAGAGCCAGTGCTTTCCGACAGCATCGAAATCCCTCAGCCGGGCCCCAGACCTGAGACCTGCTTCTCTGTGGTGTCTGATCCAGCCCACTGTCACCCTTGGGTGCCCGCTGTAGAGGGCCCATCTAGTAGGCCGCTATTTCCTACCAACCGGAGTCGACAAGAGAGAGAGCTCGGCCCAGTGACCATTGCTCACGGTAGTACTTCTAAATCCTAAAATGTTACACTCAGGCCCGCCCGCCGCTTTTGAAATAATTCCTTTTTCTTTCCGGCTGTGTCCTGGCTCATCCAATCTCTTGTCTTCTATTCATGTCACCGTTTCCCAGCGCAAAGGGAGGCGAGTCGGAAAGTGATCCCAAGAGGCTGGATCTGAAGGCCCCGCTGCTCACAAATGCTCCTCAGCGTTGGCCTGGGGTGCCTGCGCCTTGCTGTGCATCCAGCAGCTTGTGGAAGGCAGAGCAGCGAGGTCCCCTACCGCCAGCAGAAAAGGAAAGAAGAGATGGGACAAAACCGAAAACAAAACAAAGCAAACAAAAAAACAAACCCAAAGCAGAGGCGAGAAAGAAGTAAGGAAAAAAAGGAAAAGGAAATAAAATTATACTGGACAGAGAGAAAGAGAAAGGGAGAAAGACCAGGATGAACTGGTATTGGAAGGGAAGAAAGAACAGAAAGGGAAGAAGGTGAGAAGAGGGAGACCGGGAAAGGAAGGAAAAAGAACAACCCAAATGAACTAGCGTGCCGGTGCCAGCTTGGCAATCACCAACCCAGGGATAGCGCTTGGTTTTTTCCCCCCACTCTGCCCGTAACTAAGAAGTGATTGGATTGCCTGGCTGGGCGCAGCCACGGACCTCTACCTTAGTTCGGGCCCTGGTCGAAACTGCAAGCAGCGTCCTCTCGGAGACACGGCCACAGTAGCTACGGTGCGTGGACTTCTCCCGCGTGCCACGCCGCAGCCTCCTTTTTGCGCGCACCCGCCCCCTCCCCTGACGCCCACCTGCGGTCTCACCTTCCGGGAAGACTGCGCGCATCTTCAGGTAGCTGGTGGTGAGTCGGATGATGGATGCTTTGTCCAGCTGCGAGGTGATGGCCGACGGCAGCGGGAGCAACTTGGCCAGCTCATAAAATTCGCCATTTTCCTTCTCCCTCCTGGTTTTGGCTGCATTTTTGGACTTCTCCTTCATCGCGCCTCGGCTCTGGGCATATTAGCCCTCGCCGTGCTCCAGGCCCGCGGAGTTCGGCTCCGGCCGCCGCAGCCGGAATGGGGATGCCAGGGGTCAGGTGAGTCCGAGGGTGTAGGACTCCCGCAGGTGCGAGGGACCGGCGTGGAGGACGGAACGACTCCTGCACAGTCGCCGGCACTGAGTCTGTTGCAAACCAGCTGCGCAGCCCGGCTTGCTCGGCTGAGCCAGGGGGACGGACTGTCCCGTGTGGACCTGAGTCCTGCTTTCTGCCCGTTCTTTCTCCTCTTCTCCAGCCTTTGGGTCTCGACCTTCCTGGGGATGGACTGTGCGGTTGAGCTGTCGGCGATCCTGTTTAGTCCTTAAAGGAGGGCTTGCACCCGCTGCGGCGAAGGCCCTCGGAACTCAAAGGCATCATCGGCGGTGGCCGCAGCGGAGCCATGGGGCGGGAGCGGAGCCGAGCGAGGTGGCAGCGACCGGGGCCAAGCCTGAGCTTGCTGAGCTCTCCTGTTCTTCCCGGCGACTCCGGGTTTCTGGAGTCGGGGCGTCCGGAGCCCGCGATCTGTGACCAGACCGCAGCTGCTCCGCGGTCCACGTGCGACCGAGCTGCGTTTGTTTATGGTGGACCCGCCTTCGGGCGGAGCACTGGGCCGCGCTGTGCAGCCCGGGGGAGGAGGGCAGGGGGAGGGGCCGCAGCGGGGGTGGTGAGTCTCGCCTCCGACCCCGCTGCGGCCAGGGAGTCGCCTGCGCGCCACCGCGTCGCCGCCTCCAGGGACTGTCCCGTGAGAAACCCGCGCGCTCCCGTGCTGGGGGTAAGTCGGGGAGAGCGCACAGGGTGAGCTCTCGTGCCTACCCGCTCGGGAGGATGAGTGGCAGGACCTAGGCTCAAGGTTGGGAGGCCGGGTGCGGCGAAGGAGGAAGAAGGGAGGGGTGCAGGGGCTTCCACGGTGGCTCCAGGCCGGTCACCCGCGGGAGCGGCCCAGAAGAGGCGGCGCGAACAGCTGGCCAAGTGCCCCGCAGGGAGGACCAAACCTACAGCTGATCCCACACTCGCACCTTTCTTGGGTCACAGGCCTAAAGGGGGTCGCCCGAGGGGGAAAAAATCTCTCTCTCTCTCTCTCTCTCTCTCTCTCTCTCTCTCTTTCTCACACACACACACACACACACACACACACACACACACACACCATTCATCCACAGGCACACATGCACCGAAGTGACCTTTCCGCCCTTTCTCTTCTAGAAACACCCGGGCTAAAGGAGACGGGCCTTCCCGAGAGGAGCTAGAGGCCATGGGCGCACAGGGAGGGCAAGAGGGCACATGGAAGAGCTGTGCCATAGGGCCAAGTCTCATCCAGGGCGCTGGCGGGCAGGGCTCAACTGCCCTGATTCTGATGACCAAGAGGGCGGCGGGAATGTGGGCAATCGGCTTTGGGTTAGGACTTTAGGCAGAGCCAGGGTCACCCTGGGACGCTGATGCGACCCACGGAGATGGAGCAGAGGCATTTGGAGAAGGGAGACTCGGTTGCCAAGAGTGCAAGCATTCTCCCACTGGGCCACCCTACGTTAAATAATCCGTTAAATAATCCCGGGCTAGTGAGGCCAGGATAGATGAAGACGCTGCAGTCGTATCGCCATCGCGCACGCACGCCGGGCGTTGGTGGCCAGGAGAACCCGTACTCCTCTTTGGAGCCTTCCGACGCGGATCAGATGCCAACTTCCCAGGTGTCCTGAATCCCGTACAGACGCGGTCAGGTCTCAGGGCAGTTCCTTTTGTGATCGTGATCCCCCCCCCCCCTTCTCTTGGTGGCTATAGAATTGTAAGCAGCAGGGAGTCTGACCTTGGGAAGCGGGTGCCCGACCCGGGTATTTCGATTCCTAGCGTCACCGCCACATTCCTCTCCCTCTATCCCTCTGCTCAGTCTGAGAGGAACTTGCAGATGGATCGGCTCCGGGTATCTGCAGACTTCCCTCATCCGCGCCTGGAGAGCTGAGCTCTGGCCCTCCGTGCCTGCAGCAGATACTTCTGGCCTTTTCCTGGGACCCTCTTTGAGAACCCGAAGTTCGAAGGCTTTCTAGGCGTAAACTAGGCCATAGTAGACTGTTGTGGGCTTCACGCTGTGCACACACCCTTGCCCTTGGTGCCCTGCTAGAAAACGCAACGCTGCGGGTGGCGCGAAGTCGCGCCAGGCGGGAGCTCAAAGAACCTCGCGCTTTGTGCTCTTGGCGTTTGCGGATTCGGAACTGCGCAAGATTTTCTGGGTCCTGCTGTAAGGTGCACGCATAAGGCACGGGCAGTTTGCCAGTGGCGCGAGTACCCAGTGTCCAAACCTGCATCCTCATCGGGAGTCCCGTGTGGCACTGTGCCTTTGACTGTCCCGGACTTCGCTGGGAAGGGGCTCCGGGCAAACAGGACTGCGGACCTACCCTGTGGTCGCTTCGCCGGCCTTCCCTGAGCGCGCTCTTGCACCTCTGCAGCTACCGGAAGGGTCTAATGTTTCCCCCGCACCCCAGGATTCCCGACCCTCAATTATGGACTCCGGAGAATTCTTCCCGGCTTGGAAGGGATTATCCAGATCGTAGAAACATGGCTAAGTGGAGGTGGGAGAAACCCGGCAAGTAATAAGAACCGAAACGTCTCAAACAAATTTCCCAGTTTTTCACAGGAAAGCGCATTTGAACTCTTGCGACTGGGTTTTCACAGTGGCAGCCACTTTCAGCAGCTGCAAGATAGTTTCGGGTCTCCGGTTTTGGGGGTGGCAATCGCGATTGAAGTGGACATGGGGTAGGTAGCTCTAGGCCCAGAGACTGACTCAACGGACATCCAAACACCACACTCAGGTCTATGGAACTAGGGTTCCCAGCGCCAACCATCAAAAGTACAAGTGTTTGGGCAGGGATCTCAGTACTAGAAGTTTTTCATCTGGGAAGGAGTGTAATGTCTCTGTGGAATAATGAAGAACCCCGGCCTCTAGAAACTTCGGTTAAGGTGGAAAAGAGTGTTCTCTCTCTCTCTCTCTCTCTCTCTCTCTCTCTCTCTCTCTCTCTCATGCTTGTATATGTGGTGGCGTGAGGAAGCCAGAGGTTGAGTCAGGACATCTTTCTCAATCGCTTGCCACTTTATGTTTTGAACCCGTGTCTGTACTGACCCTGGAACTCCTTATTTCTAGACCTCTGGGCTAGAGAGCCCCAGCCTGCGTGTTCATCTCCACAGTGCAGTGCCGACATTATAGAGCTCCCATTCCCTCACTACTTTTTCCGTGGATCCTGGGGATCCAAGGTCCTTGTGTGTAGTAATAAGCCCTACTGAGCCTGAGCGCCAGGCCCCAACAAGTTTTATTTGGAGCTGACCATAGTTTAGTGCAGCCGCTACTCCTCTGCGACTCCTGGACTGGAGTTGGCGGCAGATCAGATTTCAATCGTCCTCCTGCTATCCATGCAGGCAATTGCGTGGCATATACTGCAACAAAGTTAGATCAGCCGAAGTTGCCTCTTCTCCACACAGGGACTTATTGATGCACAAAACAATGGTGTAGAGAGATCAGAAGATTGCCAGCACCAGCCGTGTGGCCCTAAGACAGAAGCAGAAATGCAGAGACCCTGGAATCCCAGGTCCCGCTCTTCACCCACAGGCTGGAAGGAGCCTGCAGATTGTGAAGCAGTGGTCTGCAGACCCTGCTGACCGCCTGCTGGCAGGGCACCCGCACCCTGATCCAGCAGATCAGAAGCACAGCTCTTAGAAATTTTCCATTAGGAAACTAATCTGGATGAAATGTGGGCCCTAAGAAAAAAGGGGGGCAGGCTACCCCACATCTGTTTGGATTTTCCGCTTCAGATGCCTGCAACTGTTCTTGCTAGGCTGCACACCCCATGCCTACCTGAGGCCCATCCCCAGCAGAAATCAGCTTTTGGGTGAGATCAAGGCCTTCACCTTCAAAGATGGGCTCTCAGGGAAGTTGGTGCATACAAGGAGATTGATGATGATCTGGAGTGTGTGTGTGTGAGTGTGTGTGTGTGTGTGTGTGTAGTAGTAGTAGTAGTAGTAGTAGTAGTAGTAGTAGTAGTAGTAGTAGTA